CACAGCTCACAGCAACCTCCAACTCCTGGGCTTAGGCGATTCTCTTGCCTCAGCCTCCCAAGTAGTTGGGACTACAGGCGCCCACTACACTCGGCTATTTTTTTGTTGAAGTTTGGCTGGGGCAGGGTTTGAACCCACCACCCTCAGTATATGGGGCCGGCACCCTACCCCCTGAGCCATAGGTCCCGCCCAAAATGTATACACATTTTAAGAAGGGAAAAAACTGTATAAAAATTATAATAGTAGGCTCGGCACCTGTAGCTCAAGCAACTAAGGTGCCAGCCACATACACCGGAACTGGTGGGTTCAAATCCAGCCCAGGCCTGCCAAACAACAGTGACAAATACAACCAAAAAATTACGGGGCATTGTGGTGGGCGCTTGTAGTCCCAGCTATTTGGGAGACTGAGGCAAGAGAATCGCTTAAGGCCAGGAGTTGGAGGTTGCTGTGAGCTGTGACACTACGGCACTCTACTCAGGGTGATAGCTTGAGGCTCTATCTCAAAAAAAAAAATTGTAATAGTAAATATGTATTGATAACAAAAGATGAATATAAGGCATGTTGAGTGCTCCTTATAATTGCAGAAGTCAAACAGTACTTGAGTATTACAACTTTAATATAGTTGTTTCCTTTCTTAAAACGTATATACATTTTTTTGGCACTCTCTGTATATGTAATTAACATTTTTTCCAGTAGCCGTATTTTTTAAAAAATAAAAAAGAGGATTAGGCCTGGTGATTTATGCCTGTAATCCCAGCAATAAGGCTGAGGCATGAAGATTACTCAAGGCCAGGAGTTTGAAACCAGCCTAAGCAGCATAGTGAGACTGTATCTTTACAAAAATAAAAAAAATTTTTTTTGAAAAATTAGCTGAGTGTGGTGGCATGCACTTCTTGTCCCAGCTACTTAGAAGGCTCAGGCAGGAGGATCACTTGAACCCAGGAGTTGGAGGCTGCTATGAGCTGTGATGACACCTCTGTACTCTAACCTGGGGCAATAGAGTGAGACCCGGTCTTGAAAAAAAAGGGAAAAATAAACAATTTTAGTGGGCTAAATAAAATAAACTATTAAAATTTATTTCAGTGGGTGTGGTGGCTTATGCCTGTAATCCTAGCACTCTGGGAGGCCAAAGTGGGTGGATTGGCTGAGCTCATAGGTTCGAGACCAGCCTGAGCCAGAACGAGACCTCATCTCTAAAAATAGCTGGGCATTGTGGCGGGTGCCTGTAGTCCCAGCTACTTGGGAGCCTGAGGCAAGAGAATCGCTTGAACCCAAGAGTTTGAGGTTGCTGTGAGCTATGACACCTCAGCACACTGCTAAGGGTGACAAAGTGAGACTCTGTCTCCAATAAATAAGTAAATAAAATTAATTTCATATATCATTTGCATTTTCTCATACAAGTTTGAAATCCAGTGTGTATTTTACATTTTCAACATGTCTGAATTGGGACTGACTACATTTCAAGGGCTTGACAGCCACAGTGGGGCCAGTGGCTACCATTTGGACAGAGCAGTCTTAGGGCCAGCGTGATGAAATGAAAAGCACTTAGCTTGGATACACTCCTGTGAAATGTCAGCCTATTCCCCCTCCTCCTCCCTGCCTCCTCTTCCCCTCCCCTCTCCCCTCCTTCTCTTCTTCCTTCTTATTTTCATTTCTATATTTAGCCCATACTCATGGACCCCCCCCAGACCTTGATCACCAAAACAAAAACCTTTACATTTGCCTGGCACATAACAGTGTTGGCCTCCACCATCTCATTTAATCTTTACCACAGTCCTGTGGACAGAAGTGAGGCTTCCATAGTATGATGTTATTGGCCCAAAGCTGCTTAGCTAGTGAGGGACAGGGAAAGGTCTTAGGGAAGGGGGAACTTTTGTCCCAAACCTTTCCTTGCACCTCCTCACCCAGATGACTCTTGGGACTCCCCACCACCCAGACAGTCCTTAAGACTCCGTATGCATCTTAGCTGGGGTTCATTTACAGAGGCATGTGGGGATGGCTGACAGATAAGCATGGACTCTCCAAGCTGGGTCTGTGCCTTGGTCCATTCTCCTACCCTTCTTGCTATCAGCACTTCCCCTGGAGCATCCCCTATCCTTACATACACCAGATCAGGGGCAGAAATCCACTTCCCTCCTCCCTCACTGAGCTTGTAGCCAATTTAAGTATAACCCGTGTCCTGTGCCAGTCCCACCATAAATCAGCCCTGAATTCTATCTGGCGGCTCATTCTGCTGCCAAACCTTCATTAGTTGCGGGAATGAGCCATGGAGAGAGCCTGGACTTTACTCTGGCTGTGGTGAGTCACCCCTTTGGGAAGGCCTGAGGTATTTGTCCTTGGGTGTGGGGGTGTCACAATGCCTGGCTATTTTTCTTTTTTACTGCAGTTTGGCCAGAGCTGAGTTTGAATTCGCCAACCTGGGTATATGGGGCCGGCGCCCTATTCACTGAGCTACAGGCGCCACCCTTACTTAGCACAGGTTCTGTCCCTGAGGTCCCTCATTACCCCATGGTGTCCAGACTTCTACTCTGTTATAGGAGGCTGGGCTATGACAGAAATTGGAGAGGTTAGACAGAAAGCCAGTCCTGGACCACTGAGAAGGAGTAGAGACAGAGACAG